CTAGTTCATTCCTTTATTATCGGTTGTATTTTACAGCAGTTTTAAATAAAGCATTGATTATGATTTGTTTATGTATTGTGTATTCCAGTGGGACTTTATTTATCTAATTCAGTATTTCCTGTTCACTTTTTAACTACTCGTGAAATTTGGCTAAACCTTTCGTTTAAATATTCATCACGAAATGACTATTTGCCATGCAAAGCCAATGCGATTGTCTTATTAAAATTTTGATGAAACGTTGACCATACATGCGTCATCATTAGTCTGCATATTGTATACATATATGTCAAATCCTTAACTTAAAAGGTCAAGGTCAACAGAGGGATATATAACGTTTGGACTTAAGTCACCTTCAGTAGAAAGAAAACCAAAATGCTGTTTCTAGCTTTAGTTTGTGAGTTATTTAAATGAAAAGCAACTTCAACTGTAATATACTGTAACCTTTTGCTTACAGCAAACTTTTATGATCGGTGGATTGAACTTTTAAAAACAGAATTAGGATTCTAGCAAAGAAGGTGTGCATGGGGAGTGGGACATATACTTGGTGTTTTACTCAATAATTAGTTATCACCCACAGTACAGCGACACTGATAAATTGATACCATTTTTCTGCCTGTTAGTCGGTCCATATGATAAACTCGTCAATGGGATTTATTTTTTTTTAAATCTATTTATTGACCATCGTCTATAAATTCATGGGACGGGATGAAAGCTGATATGGGAAAACACTGCTAGCATAGTAACATTTTCAAATATTTTTTTTAAAACCAAACTTTATATTTGCAGATGTATCGGAAGGACACATAATATGTCCAGAGGATTCTGGGATATGAACTCTTGGTTATTGTGCTTTAGCGGGTGTTGAGGGTTGGATAGGGATCCAGTGGTGACAGAAACAAATATGATAAATGGTGTGGGTGTTTGCAATAGCGAACAATTCATATTATTGAAAAATCATAGAAGTTAAGGACTTGTTTCAGTTTATTTTAGATTAATTACTTTGAAAAGAGTGTCTGATTCTGATTAACACCCTTTGGGTGAGATACAAGAACGTGATCGTGCGTTTCGACATGGGGATGTTTATCTACAATTAACAAAACATAGTCATAGTTAGGTATATATCTGTATCCAGTTTTCTAACTATTGCGTGACTAGGCATATGAATTTATGGGTACTGTGGTACATGATTAGTGCGTGATTGGTACATGATTGGTACATGATTAGTGCGTGATTGGTACCTTTTGGAGGACAATGGGTTGCACATCCATGTCCGAAATGCTTCTGACTTCCATACCCTCCGGGGACACAAGAAGAAATGGAATGGCCAAGACATCGACTTATTACATAGCATATTGACTTATCATAATTTATTGCAATTACGTCATTATGTTCGCCCTCATATTTTAGTCTACTTAATGGATCGGATTCTAACAATCGACAGAATATAATGAAAATGTATAAGCATTTTTGCATTGATGCATTGATGGAAATAAAATCTGATCAAAATTCGTCGATATTTGGAAACTGTATATTATGACAGCAACCATGAAAATTTTAACTGTAAAATATGTTTTCAAATTCTAGTATTTGATGTCGAAATACTAATCAAATATAATTATTTTCGTATTTCCTACAATTGAAAATTCAGTGACGACATAGACGATAACTGAAAAGTGTACCTTACCTGGTTTATTCAACAGCTTCCATCAAAATAATGTAGCTGGTTCTTTTGTGAAAATCATTTTAAGAGTGGGAATTCCAATGAACTATAAATATACACAAATTACGTCAGCACCAAATGAATGCAAACTTTCCACTATTACAGATTAAGTATCTTTTGAGATCCCTGAAGTGCAGATGGGAATAGCGCTTAGGGTTTTGTTCTATTGAATGTGCCATGGTTAGATTATGCTAAGACGGATAAATGTGATGTTAAATAAACGTAATGGTCACGATCGGAGTACTATGAACAAAGTGAAAGAATACCGCAAAGACAAATCTGCTGGCAAGTATAAAATGCTAGGTCTTGTTTTTCTTAACATTAAAGAAATATAAATAAAAAAAGAAGCATTAAAACGTTTGTGACGAGGTAATTCAAACGACATTACACGTCCATCATTCAGCCTATGTACTTTGCTTAAGACAATAAAACTTCGTTGATTAGACAAATATTCTTATCGATTTTGTCTTGCAAAGTCATAAAGGAGTGTTCCGAATGAATTTCCATGTATTTCTTACTTAATAGCCCTGCATGGTAAAACATCCAGAAAACTGAAAAGATAGAAGGAAAAAAAAATGAAGTTTTACACATGCGCTCCTAATGATTGATTTTGATCGATATAACGGAAAACATTTCATGACGAATCACTGAAAAACAAATGGTTAATAAACGGAGGAAAATCTCGAAAAAAATAGCATTGAAAAGTAGGGTTGTGTTTTAAGAAAAGCTATATCGCAAATGAAATTCCTTCACTGACAAATATGTGTGAAAGACAAAATCAAGTCGTGTGTGTAAGAATTTAGAAACGTGTGCGTTAAACTGTTTTACCTCGCATATTCGTTCACATGCGAGGTAAAAAAAAAAAGACATTTAAGCAAATTTCCAGGTAAATATCGAAATATAACGCCATCAAAATTTCACCCAGATTTGTGACATACTCAAGAAATATTGAAATATAGATGTGATCATGAACCTTTATTTCTTATCTGTGTGTGGGTGGGTTTTCTTTTATCTCGATCGACAACAATATCAAGACGAACAGAATGCCTAAGAGACGAACAAGAAGACTGAATCCAGGTTGAGACTCAGTTTCCCATCCATTAAACCAGTATTGACCCCATAACTCAATATCCCACCATGCATTATTCGTATGACTCAGTCGCCCTTCCACGTATCCAGGGATATGACTAAAACCCATTCGTGTTGGCCTAAAAACTCAAAATAAGTGGGACTGGTAACAAGTTCTTGCATCTTAGACCCCATTCCCCAAAAGCAAAATGTAAAATATAGTATGTCATAGAGTGGTTAGCCTACTTTTAAAACAATATAAATAAGAATGAATGTAAAATAGAACAGAACAACGTAGAGGATAGTCTTCTTGCATGTATATTTAAAAAAAGCACATTAGAAGATTTCATTTTGAACCTTTCCGTTATTTTAATTTGAATTATCAGACTCATGTATTTATGTGCGTTATAAAAGTTTTGCTTATTACCATGTAAAAATGCTTGGTAGTTGCAAGTACATAAAAAAGAATACATTGCGTAAGATCTACTAAAATGGCAATTAACACAGACAACCGTATAAACTGAAAAAGTACAAAGAACTCAAGAGCAGGTTAAAAAAATAAGCACATAGACCAAACAAAGATTTTACGATAATGTAAACACTAATATGTATTTAACGACAACAAATAATCTTCGAAAGAGCTGAAAAATAATCAGGAAGTTTATGACTGAAATAAAATCTACAGTCTCCACATATTAATCAGTCTTAATTCCTCACCTCAAATCTTCGTGTCTATTTCAACAGTCAGCGACCACAGTTACACTCTCGTCTTAATCTTACGACAAATTATGATTAAATATTGAATAGATATTGAAAAATATCAGCAGGAGAAAAACGATACCGCCACAGTATATCAATTTTGAAACTATCTTTATTGTTCATTTAGGAATTATAGCTATTCTCGTGTAGCATTGTCTTGTGTAAGTTATTCAAACCTGTTTTTCAATAGTTAAGCTTTTTATGTTGTCTTATTCCGCTGCTCATTTTGTCCTTTCTAGCAGGACGTACGGATCTTAATGTGTGTCTTCTGTAGACCATCTGTAATACATTTATGCAGACCATGACAAGTAACTGAACATAAACAAGAATATAAAAACAAATAATTATTTGTGGAGGAAATTAATATAATTAAAACATTATTCCATTTTATTGCATAAAGAAATACAACTACACCTGTTGCTAACACTGCATGCCAAACTACTGTCAATGGGTCAGATGTTTTGCCATATATGGGATATAAACGAAACTATTGTTATGTTTTCAGTCTGTGTTGATGAGAAAACATAATGATTCATTTTCCCACCCACTTTTCATTCGTGTACAGTTTAGGTAAACTCCCTTTAATCTACAGGGGGGGGGTCTTTATGAACCATACATGTGTCTTATACATTCCTTTACAACATACATCAGTCTGTATTTATCACTGAATGACTAAACTTTGCTATGACTTGAAATGCATCCACAGCTATTTAAATCCTCTGTTTATAATAGGTCCCCTGGAACAGTGTACTCAGAACAATATTTATTGGCCCTAAACTACTTTGATTCGCAGTATAGCAGAGAGAGAGAGAGAGAGAGAGAGAGAGAGAGAGAGAGAGAGAGAGAGAGAGAGAGAGAGAGAGAGAGAGAGAGAGAGAGAGAGAGAGATTTAAATAAGAATTCTTTAATTCTTTCCTGTTCATTTTATTTTCTGGGAGAATTAATTTGGAGTCAGAATGTACTGAAAATATCAAGTCGGAAATAGGTGTTTTGAAATAGTTCTTCCAATTACCATCAAGGAGACGGAATACGCATGGCCAATGATACAAAGAGAAGAATCAGTTCATGTTTCCAATAAGCAAAGTGTATGAATGTACTTCTTTGCAAAATACTCCAAATAGTGTCTTACTGTTAATCAGATAGTAAACGAATCTAAACGTTAGCAAAAGTACATGTATTTTGAATTACATTTCAAATCAGAAATAACCTATCCAAAATATATTCGATGTGGTCAGTGGTCCAACTACTCACTTGACTAATATGAATGGAACTTAGTTCTTTAGCTGAATGCATAACTAAATTGTCAATTAAGCTCGTTTACTGTCTCATGAGATTTTTGGCCCGTGCAATGTTTATACTTATCATCGACGTTCCCTGTAGATACAGCAGAGGTAAATACTAAGTTTAATGAGAGTAAATACACCTGTCATGCATTTCTACATAGAACCGCTCCGGTGGCCTAGTGGTTAGAGTGTCCGCCTCGGATGCGGGAGGTCGTGGGTTCGATCCTAGGTAAAGTCATACCAAAAACAAATGGTACTAACAGCTGCCTCGCTTGACGCTCAGCATTAAGAGGTTAGTATTAGGACTGGTCGGCCTGGTGTCATGATAATGTGACTGGGTCTGCGGCATGATGTCCCAGTGCTAGACATCACTATAAATTGCCACAGTGCAGACATCGTAGCGATATGACTGAAAATTGTTAAAGCTACGATAAAATCATAATCAAATGGCATCACATTCTACACAGTCTAAGAGCCTTATACAGTTATCTGACGATCTTTATAAGGATTACTACACTCGCTAACGGCAAAACAATTCAGACTGTGGTAACCTAAACTTCCTGTACAAAATTACCGTCGTTTGTTGTGGTGTAGAGACCGTATGAAACATCCCCCAAAGCAAAATTCAATCCCCGCGAATACGATACCTGTCATTTTCTTGTTCTAAGAATGACCGGCCGCATGGCGTAAATATGTTAATAGACCCTGGCCTAAAAGTCGTCAGATAGCTTAACATGTAAAGGTTATTGACCTCAGAGTGTAACCAATGTCTCAGCAAATACTATTAGTTAGGACGTTGTGACATGCTTCTCAACTTTCAGAATATCTATTATGTGAAAGACCTGTGCTGTTTGGTATGATCTTTTATATTTTGTTCTTACAATTTCGTCTCGCAAAAAAGAATTAAAAATACTGGTAAAACTTTCTAATAAATTATTTTCTCTTCTTAGGTAACACAAATTACAGCACTTAACAAAACAGCATTTTATTTTTACATGTATTTTCACTGTGTCATATAGTTTAGAGGGTTTCAAAATTGTATGTCAAGTACTCGTGATGTAATTGTTGTAGAGAGACTTTTCTCATTAAAACGTAAATGATAGTGAATTTAATGTGTTCTTCGGGACTACTTGACTTTATGTCGTAGATGTATTCCGATTGTCCATGACCTCACTAAAGTTTCTTGATCGGCTGACTTTAAGTGTACGGCTGACTGATTTATTTAGAAATTAAGCAAATGATAGGTACCAAGATTAATCAGAATTGCCATTTGAAGATGAAAACACATGCTTGACCAGACTTGGATAATTTCCAATTATTCTTTCCCTGCACCCCAAATCCTTTTCGGTTTTAACCTGTTGTCTTTGTCTGCTATATAAATTTATTTCAATCATGTGTATCTTTAGTTAAAGCAGTGCAACTGTCAGGGTACCTCTCACCATTACCCCCGCTCCATCAAAACTGCCTCTTTATAAAGCAAGCAGCAAAGAGAGAACCTTGAAGATCAAACCCTTTGCTACTGAAGAGGATGCAAATTGAACTTGTAACGGACGGATACTACGTTTACAGCGCATACCTTATTCTTAGCCTCTGTCATTCTCAACACAGACATCAGTCAAAACAGAAGCTAAACAAGCGAGGACAAAATTTAAAACAAATATCTTTGCTCAGAAACGGAAGGTCTGCTTTTAACTGTTTTCCTCCTAATTTACAATTCGAGATACTGACATTATAAAAGTGGACTGTGTTTCACTATGATCTGTGGGAAAGAAGAGACGTTGAATTCCTACTATTTTCATACAATATAACAAATCTAAGGCACGCTAAAAAAAAACTTTTGAAGCTTAGTTGCCAAAGTGTATGCCAAGAAACTGTATCAACATATCATAATGGCTTCTTTTGTACCTAGGAAACGGAGAAAGAGTACTTGGTACAGAAAAAAATGTTGCAAATTGTCACCAAATACATACATACATACATACATACATACATACATACATACATACATACATACATACATACATACATACATACATACATACATACATACATACATACATACATACATACATACATATATACATACACACACACATACATACATACATACATACATACATACATACATACATACATACATACATACATACATGCATGCATGCATGCATGCATGCATGCATGCATGCATGCATGCATGCATGCATGCATACATACATACATACATACATACATACATACATACATACATACATACATACATACATACATACATATATATATATATATATATATATATATATATATATATATATATATATATATATATATATATATATATATATATATATATATATGAATTAACGCAATAAAGAGTTGTTCCTGAAGTAAATATGTGTGAAGCAATTTTAAGCTCCAAATAAATACACGTTACGTTGTTTATTGATGGAGTCGTGTGCTACAACCACCTGCTCAGTGGTTCATCTGTTGTAAAGAAAGCAAGAGAAACATTAAAGAGAGTCATTGTTCGCTAGAAAGAGGAAAGACACTGAATACATGATTACAAATGTCAAATGCCAACATTGTGTGCATTTTGGACTTGAGAGGTTCCATTGACTTGAGTCTTTAGCTATGTCTTATTCACATATTCAGTATTGGCCAAATACTTTTGAACAATGTGCAAACAAAAACTGATCGGTAGGAAGATTTAGTGTTAAAGATTTTTTTATCAAAAGAAATGTACAATCTCAACTTAAGATGACGTCAGGCACGCGCAGTGAGAAACTGTAAACGTGTACATTGATACAATAGCTTTCCAGATTCGATTTTCAAAAACATACTAAATTACTTAAGACTTAAACAAACACAGACCCATACAGCGTCATTATTTGTAATTTAAATGCTGTACGATTTTTCTAAATGAAGAAATACATTTACATGACACCTGCCATTGATAATAGTCAACATCATACCATCGCCATAAATGTCAGCAACCATTCTTACCTGTACAACTTGACACTGCAATTAAAATTCTTTACCTCACAATAATTTTGGAAACACTTTAATATGACGACAACTGGGACACAAGAGCTTAAAACAGGTGGCCATTTTATGAACGTAAAATGTTTGTAGTATGTACGTGTGAATAAATTAATTCTTGCATGATAGATATTATTTTGAGTGGTTAAGAACCTGAGAATTTTCATTATTAAAGACACACTGTCATAAAAATTCAAATCAGAACACATTTGTAATAAACCGATTTAACTTTAAGGGGCAGTATGATGTTACCCTAAAAAATAATTTTCATTGATTACATACGTGTATCTATGAAATATCAAACATTCCGCTAAAATTGGTACAACTGCATGACACTTTTACTTGCAATAATTCTGCAACAAAAATATTGTGCTGGTGCATCAGAGCTATTGTAGTATAAGAAACAATACATGGCGTTAGTTACTGATTAGCAAGCATTACTCATCGCCCAGGAAAAGAACAGGTCAGATACGACAATATTGGGCTGTTTTCCGCTCTTTGTTTTTAAACCAAATTATCTCATACTAGAAGTATTTCAAACCCGTATCAAACACACTTAAACTGCAGTGCTGCAGATAATTAACTATTTTTGTTGATGATGTCACGTCTATTCGCTTCCTGTGCGTGCAAGTAGAAACAGTACACTGGTACCATATCTCCCAATGTTGTCATAAACACGCACCATCGAATATAATCTGGTCACATTTATTACTTCCAGTCCAGTACCCACAAATATAGTCACAGCCTACTTTTAGAGTATTTTTTCCTCTCTCATTTGATTGTGATACAAGAGTTAGATTATTTGCACATTCTTTTTTAATTGCTTATTACATCAGACGGTTTCGTAAAAGTTGCACGAGTAATTTCCTTAATCAACGCAGCTATCACACTTGGTAACCTCGCAACCCATTCATGAGATCATGTATCTGTGGATATTTCCTTTGCATATTGATACCCAAATAACCGCTCAACAAGTGTTCAATTAAATCGTTCAACATTTGTCTGATCACGATAAATTTCCGTGTGTACTCGTCAAATTAAGGTTCATCAACGATGGTATCTTTAGATTTGGAGCATGATAGTGTTGTTGTATGTGTGTTTATCGGCGACTGTGCACAGTGAATAATGAGGCAGTGATTCAGATCCGGAAGTGAAATCTGCGATCCATTGAACGTTGCGTTCTTCACCGTCAATCCTACCAAAGAAATGCTGGATAACATATGATAAGAACTTCACGGTGAGCAGCAGACAGAGTTAACAGACCACTTTGATAGAGACTTTATTGTTGAAAACTAAAGGTTCTTACGATGTTGAAAAATGCCGTCGATAATATTTAAGCCACAAAATTCTCTAATTGGTCAGATTACTTTTCGACCTTATCATTTTTACGCTGGTCACATGCGTTAGTCGATCACCCTCTCTGCTGCTATGCATTAAACAGCCAGTATAATATTATCAATAATGAGTATTGGAGAACCACACTCAGCTAAATTAGCTCGAGAGCGACTAGATGCAATTAAAACATATCTACCTGTTCGTTATTCTGTTAAACAATAACTACAATCGCGTTAGAAATCTCAAGTTAAATTTGAGGAGGATACAAAAAAATAATTTAAACCTATCACTGAGACCACTAAAGGTATTCTACCTGTTGGAGAAAACATCTTTAGTAACTGGAAAAATTGCAGAAAGAACTAAGAAAACAAAAAAGATTTTTAGAGAACTTCCAGCTAAAACAGCTGCTATGATGCCAGTCCCGGAAATACCTGAGGATGCAGACCAAGCTCGTGCTGAAATAGGTGACATAAAGGAACGTCTAGCAGAACAAGAAGAAAAAGTTAACTTAAATGACAAATTAACTGACGATGCTATTGTTGATATTAAAATTGATAAAAGTGTACGAAATTTAGTTGTGATTGCTGTAAAAAGTTTCAGTGATCGAAGACGATTTGTAAAATCTGAATATGCTGATAAAAATATAAATCGTGATACTTGGCACAAATGGATATTTCGCATCCACTATGACTTTGATCAAGCTCGAAACAGCAATCCAAAATATATTGAGTATATTCATGCAATAGATAGTTATATTTCCTTTATACAATTTTCGCCAGAATAACAAGTTCTAAAACAACGACGAGAATAACAATCGATAAAACAACAACAAAAACAACAACTAACAACAACAGAACCACTTGTGCAATCATTTCATG